GCACAGTTTCTGCACGATCCTCTTCAATAATATCTTCTGCTTCTCAATTGGTCTCGAACTGATAACGCCATTGTTTACAATACAACCGGAGCACATGCCGCTGAGGAGAGGGGCGGAACACTTAGACGCACACTAGAGGCGGTTTAGCCAATCACAACACACTGGGCTAGCTAACCAATCAGAGCCCATCGCTTATTTCTGAGGGCGGGGATTCATAAAAACAGGAAAAGATCAGCCCGTTTCTCAGAGAAGGGACAGAGCGGTGTGGAATAAAGGTAAATTATGTGAAAAATAATGTTTTTTTTTTTAAACGAAGCATTAACACATGTTAGACTGCACCCCATAAACACAATCAAGCCTAGAAAAAAAACTGTGAACCACCCCTTTAAAACATTATGATAGTGTTATGAAATTATATATGTAGCTTGTTGCATAGTGTTTATGTAAATAAACACAATATGCAAATAAATCATTGTGGATATCAAATCCACCTGGCCTCTGTAACTGTCTCCTCTATAACACTATCGTGTTCATTGATCAGTAGTCAGATCTAGCCTAGTCAATGCAAAAACATTACATTCATTTATTCATAATTAATTTACTCATTTAACGTTAACGGATCGCCAGGCAGGCGTACAGCAGTGACAGACAGACACATATAATGGTGTCCTGTATGGAAAAATGTTTCCCAGCTGACAGCTGTCCATTTTCACCTGTACAAGTGAACAGAACACTGAGCATCGGCAGCTAATGAGGTGCGTTGGAGTGATGTCACTGCCCCTCTTCATCTGATTGGCTAGAGGAGGAGCTGTCAATCTAGAACTAGTGGACCAATGATGCCCGCCTTGATTTACAGGAAACTCTAACCACAACATTTGGAAAAGCAAGCGCAGGACGTGGAAACAAAAGCGAAGGGAAAAACAGCATAAGCATACAAAAATTAAAAATATGAGCAGAAAATGTCTGAGAGTACAAAAAACAGAGAAATATAACCAAGGAAAACATGATTTTGTGTGCAAGTCAGACAAATTTGCTTTTTTTTATTTTTATCCGTGACTGCAATACTTTAGGCGGGAATCTGATCCCATACAGTTAATCCATTTTAGCCTCTACTGAATCTATTTAGCATTGTTGTCACCTATTACTACAATAATCATGTTTGATTTTTTTATCAATGACTTTAGGAATTTGCCTTTTGTTTATTTACGTAGGTTTAGTTCACTGTAATTGAGTTTATGGCTTCAAAATATGCACATACTAATTAAAAAAGGCACATCAAAAAGTGCTATATATTTTTTCACAATCTTAAATATGACATCAATGTATATTGCTTGACTTCATTTTATATATATTTTTTTAAATAATTACATTATTATAATAATCATGTATTATACTATATAATAAAAAATATTTAAATAATATTATTGCATATTACTTGCACACACAAACACACACACACATAATATATTTACATAACATGTTTATTTATGTATTTATTTATTTATACACTACCTTTCAAAAGGTTGGGGTCAGTACAATGTTTTTTTTTCAAAGAAATTAATACTTTTATTCAGAATGTATTAAACTGTTCAAAGGTGAGTTAAATATGTTTATAATGTATTATTTCCTACAAATTCTGTTCTTTTGAATGTTTGATTAATCACAGAATAAAAAACACTACATAAATATAACTGTTTTTAACATTACTTAAGAATGAAATTATATTAAGAAGTGTTTCTTCAGCACCAAATAGGCATGATTTCTGAAGGATCTGTGATGAATAAATTCTATTTTAAAATAAATGAAAATTGAAAAGTTGTTTTAAATAGTAATATTTCAAAATGTTACTGCTTAAGAGATTTCTTTCAAAAACATTTTTTAAAATCTTATATTGAATGATTCACTTTATTCCTCACTGAATGAATCTGTTTGAATGAATGATTTAATGTCTTACTCTAAAGATACTTGCCGCCACCTGCTGGCTGTTTTACTTTCATTTTGTTGCTGTATTCTAACTTTATATATTTAAAACATTATGATAGTGTTATGAAATTATATATGTAGCTTGTTGCATAGTGTTTATGTAAATAAACACAATATGCAAATAAATCATTGTGGATATCAAATCCACCTGGCCTCTGTAACTGTCTCCTCTATAACACTATCGTGTTCATTGATCAGTAGTCAGATCTAGCCTAGTCAATGCAAAAACATTACATTCATTTATTCATAATTAATTTACTCATTTAACGTTAACGGATCGCCAGGCAGGCGTACAGCAGTGACAGACAGACACATATAATGGTGTCCTGTATGGAAAAATGTTTCCCAGCTGACAGCTGTCCATTTTCACCTGTACAAGTGAACAGAACACTGAGCATCGGCAGCTAATGAGGTGCGTTGGAGTGATGTCACTGCCCCTCTTCATCTGATTGGCTAGAGGAGGAGCTGTCAATCTAGAACTAGTGGACCAATGATGCCCGCCTTGATTTACAGGAAACTCTAACCACAACATTTGGAAAAGCAAGCGCAGGACGTGGAAACAAAAGCGAAGGGAAAAACAGCATAAGCATACAAAAATTAAAAATATGAGCAGAAAATGTCTGAGAGTACAAAAAACAGAGAAATATAACCAAGGAAAACATGATTTTGTGTGCAAGTCAGACAAATTTGCTTTTTTTTATTTTTATCCGTGACTGCAATACTTTAGGCGGGAATCTGATCCCATACAGTTAATCCATTTTAGCCTCTACTGAATCTATTTAGCATTGTTGTCACCTATTACTACAATAATCATGTTTGATTTTTTTATCAATGACTTTAGGAATTTGCCTTTTGTTTATTTACGTAGGTTTAGTTCACTGTAATTGAGTTTATGGCTTCAAAATATGCACATACTAATTAAAAAAGGCACATCAAAAAGTGCTATATATTTTTTCACAATCTTAAATATGACATCAATGTATATTGCTTGACTTCATTTTATATATATTTTTTTAAATAATTACATTATTATAATAATCATGTATTATACTATATAATAAAAAATATTTAAATAATATTATTGCATATTACTTGCACACACAAACACACACACACATAATATATTTACATAACATGTTTATTTATGTATTTATTTATTTATACACTACCTTTCAAAAGGTTGGGGTCAGTACAATGTTTTTTTTTCAAAGAAATTAATACTTTTATTCAGAATGTATTAAACTGTTCAAAGGTGAGTTAAATATGTTTATAATGTATTATTTCCTACAAATTCTGTTCTTTTGAATGTTTGATTAATCACAGAATAAAAAACACTACATAAATATAACTGTTTTTAACATTACTTAAGAATGAAATTATATTAAGAAGTGTTTCTTCAGCACCAAATAGGCATGATTTCTGAAGGATCTGTGATGAATAAATTCTATTTTAAAATAAATGAAAATTGAAAAGTTGTTTTAAATAGTAATATTTCAAAATGTTACTGCTTAAGAGATTTCTTTCAAAAACATTTTTTAAAATCTTGTCGATGCCAAACTTATATATTCACGTGCATGTATAAAACAAATTTAAATAATTCATGTTGATATCAATTCATGTAAAAAGTCCAAACCAGTAAAACATCATTTTTTGCTCTTTAAAGGTTACAAATATGAGTATGACAAACGTGCTATATTTTTAAACTGAGTAAAAAACAAGACATGAACCATGAATGAGTAACAGTGACTAAAACTGCCCAACCAGTGCAAATGATACACTTGCTTTGCAGCACATTGTATGTAAAAACAGCCTGGTGTGTGACTGTATTCTTCCCTTTATAATGGTGACTCATGTGTACATTCCTTACTATGCTGTATCTAAAACTGTGATGTATAACGTTATAAACTGAAACTGTAAAATATGGTTGCCAACCTGATTTCACTTTGTGTAGTGTGTAAGTAAACTGGACCTATTAAAGGGCTCATCCATTTGCATGCCATTAATAATGCATCAGTACTGCAACATGCTTCCTGATAGAAAAATGGACCAACATGGAAGCAATATCAGTATGTACAGAATGTCAAAAAGTCAAGTATACCAAAACTATTTCTCGCTTCGTTTTCTACTTTCTATACAGTGTGCATTTTGTGGATCACTGCTCCCCCTTAATAATAGCATTGAAATGTGTTGTTGTTGTTGTTTTTTAACAAAAACTACAGGCAGTCCACCTAACTAATTAAGTGATTGTGGAAAATAATGTTAGATGGACTTTAACAATCTAGTATACTTGATAAAGGGATCATTTCAATTCTCTGCTACATAGCTTCTTAAGGTCTAAGCTCTATTTCATGGCCCACATATCACCTCCAGATTTGGACTGTCGTATATGACCCATATATCTCTGCACAAATTCTTGCTGATAAGAACAGAAGTGAGTTATGAGGATTTGGGATCGAAAACTGGGTTGTATGGTAGAAGAGAGAGAGAATAAGAGGCGATATAAGAGAGCAGCTCAGCATTTCTTTTGTAATATGGTCTTTTGTAACATGTTTGTCCAGCTCTATTATATATGCTCCCCCTTTTGTGACCACCGTCACATTCAGCATCCTTTGCTCAGTGTTCATCTAATCCTCCTAAGCGCTATGATTGGACGTGCGCTCATGATTGTCTATTTTTCCACTACCCATGCTCCATTTCACAGCTTGATGACCAACAATGCCACCTAGATCTATCAAGCACATACAGTAGTATGTCAGAGTGACTGTACGTAATTATTGATTAACTCTATTACATCTACCTTTCTTTCTAAATATTGAGTAAAGGAGCTATACAAACTACATGATATTTACAAAAAAAAAATCCTAAATATGTTATCTTAATAATAAATACAGATTATAATAAATATAGCATTGTGTTCATATTCAGAAAACTGGATCTGAACCTGAGCTTACTGGCATTATCTAAATTTTTCTTTGGAAACGCAGAGAACTGCAGCAAAAACAGTATAAATGCTTCTCATTTTTTCATAGTCATATGTGGGTAGTGGTTCTCCTCTCTGAATATCAGTGTTAAAAATGGCAAACTCTTTGTGAACTGTGTACAAAGCTCTTGAAGAGACATACTGCAATGCACTGGCCTTTATAAATGTTACAAAAAAAAGTCTTCGGAGTAAAGGCATGATTGGATGGGATGGACTGTGGACAGAATGGCTGAATTCTGATCATTCGGAGTTCAAACTGTTGTTAGTGGTCACATGGGCTGCAGCTTCAGCCAGCTAAGGTCATCTGACCTATAAAAGAAAGAAAACTTCAGTAAAAAAGCATTAACAATACAACAGAGCTCTAAAGAAATGTGGTCGCTTTTAGCCTCTTTAAAGGAGCACCTAGCATTTAACTTCATAAATTACTACATGAATTGTGCATTTGGACAGTATTTCAACATACAGAATCCATATGAGTTTCACAGAAAAATGTTTAATCTTCATAAGGGTGGTATACCTGTCAGCCCTGTGTTCCTGTGTCTTGTGTTTTGCTACCCATGTGCTCCCCATTACCCAGTTTCTCCCTTGTTTATTATGTTCATTGATGCCAGGTCATCGTTTAATTCCCGGTATTTAAGCCCTGTGTTTTCCTGTGTCTTGCATCCAGTGTTAAACGTCTACTCCATGACTTATGTGTGTGATTCCCCGGTTTTGTTCAATAAAGACTCTTCAAGGATTCTCCCTCGTCTCCGCATCTCCTCGCTCCTTCGCTCCTCGTTCCGACACAGTAGGCAGATCGTGACAGAAGACAGGACCAAATAACAGAGAGGGCTCAGCGCAGAGAGGGCTCCTGTTCTCACGTTCAGCCCAGAGAGGGCTCCTGTTCCCACGTTAAGCCCAGAGAGGGTTCCTGTTCCCAAGTTAAGCCCAGAGAGGGCTTCTGTTCCCACGTCCAGCCCAGAGAGGGCACCTGTTCCCAAGTCAAGCCTAGTGAGGGCGCCACAGTTCCCGAAATTTCCCCCAAGGAATTTGGGGGGGGCTATAGGGCTCCGAGGCCAAGGCTGCCGCTCCGCCATGGCCCCCTGAACTGTCTGCTCTGCCATGGCCTCCTGAACTGTCTGCACCGCCATGGCTCCCCGAGCAACCTGCACCGCCATGGCTCCCCGAGCAGCCTGCTCTGCCATGGCTCCCTAGTCTGACTGCTCCACCATGGCCCCCTGAACTGTCTGCTCTGCCATGGCCCCCTGAACTGTCTGCTCTGCCATGGCCTCCTGAAATGTCTGCACCGCCATGGCTCCCCGAGCTGCCTGCTCTGCCATGGCTCCCCAGTCTGCCTGCTCTGCCATGGCTCCCTAGTCTGCCTGCTCCGCCATGGCTCCCTAATCTGCCTTCTCCACCATGGCTCCCTAGTCTGCCTTCTCCGCCATGGCTCCCTAGTCTGTCTTCTCCGCCATGGCTCCATAGTCTGCCTGCTCCGCCATGGCCCCCTGAGCTCCCTGCTCCACCATGGCTCCCTAGTCTGCCTGCTCCGCCATGGCTCCCTAATCTGCCTTCTCCACCATGGCTCCCTAGTCTGCCTTCTCCGCCATGGCTCCCTAGTCTGTCTTCTCCGCCATGGCTCCATAGTCTGCCTGCTCCGCCATGGCCCCCTGAGCTCCCTGCTCCACCATGGCTCCCTAGTCTGCCTGCTCCGCCATGGCTCCCTAATCTGCCTTCTCCACCATGGCTCCCTAGTCTGCCTTCTCCGCCATGGCTCCCTAGTCTGTCTTCTCCGCCATGGCTCCATAGTCTGCCTGCTCCGCCATGGCCCCCTGAGCTCCCTGCTCCACCATGGCTCCCTAGTCTGCCTGCTCCGCCATGGCTCCCCGGACTGCCTGATCCGTCATGGGTCCCGGAATGGGTACCACCCTGGAGGGCTTCCGTCCCGTGTAAGCCTGTCCGTAGAGACCTCCAGAGCACCCACCCCCCCTCCCCATTGGAAGCTATGTGGCACATGGATGTGCCTTCCGGGAGGGGGAGGTAATGTCAGCCCTGTGTTCCTGTGTCTTGTGTTTTGCCCCCCATGTGCTCCCCATTACCTCCCTTTCTCCCTTGTTTATTATGTTCATTGATGCCAGGTCATCGTTTAATTCCCGGTATTTAAGCCCTGTGTTTTCCTGTGTCCTGCGTCCAGTGTTAAACATCTATTTCATGACCTATGTGTGTGATTCCCCGGTTTTGTTCAATAAAGACTCTTCAAGGATTCTCCCTCATCTCCTCACTCCTTCGCTCCTCGTTCCGACACAGTAGACAGATCGTGACAGTACCTCTTTAATGGTGGCAGCCATTTTGAGATCAAATGACTGTCTTTTTCCTTTTCATTGGCTGCATCCAAAATCACATACTCCCTGTGCAGGTATGTTTTTTGAATAAGTAAACACTCTTTGAGCATTATATAGAATGAATGTGTGTAGTAGTATGAATTAAATCTGGATGTACTGCATTTGTCATATTGTCACTGTCATGTGACCTACCAGTGTCAGCTGAGTCACTTCACTGCTATTCACAAATCCTTTCCCTGTGGCTTCATGGGATAGTAAAGTAAGTGTCCATTAGATTCCGAAGTAGTAAGTAATTTGTATACTTCCACATAGCCTACTGTTTTAAGAATGCTGTGAATTCGGACATACTGCTCTTTTCACATACAGTTTTTCGTCTAATATATTGTATGTATAGAAGTATGTGATTTCAGATGCAGCCATTGTTCAGAATAGCATATGACACTCTCAGAAAAAATGGTACAAAAGCTGTCACTAGAGTGGTACCTTTTCAACAAGTACTAAAATGTAGAGGTCGACCGATTGATCAGTTTTCCGATTAATCGGCACCGATAGTCAATTGATGGAACTACCAGCTATTGCCAAAAATCCATGCAGATGGATTATCATATTATCATACTGTCATTATACAGTATGAGAGCGTCCCCTACAGGCGAATCACTGATGTTTGTTTTGACACATGATACTGCGCGCATACAATATCTGGTAACACTTTATTTTAAGGTGTCCTTGTTAAAAATGTTACATGTACTTACTATTATATTAACAATAAATTATGCATAATTACATGCAAGTAACCATAAGCCAAACCATGCAAGTACATGTAGTTAATTAATATTACTCAGTACTTAAATGTATAATTAAAATAAAGTATAACCCAATATCCATATGTATGAAATTTCAATGCTATGGCCTTTGTGTAGATATTTAAAGATTTCCATCTTTAAGAATGACTGCAGATATGGAATGGTACAATTTCTTTACAAATTCAGAAAACTTTACAAAATGAGTCCATTTGTAACATTAACTAAGGTTGATAAAAGCTGTAGAAGTACTGTTCCTTCTTAGATTGTGTTAATAACTTGCTTCAGTTAACATAAGTTAATGAACTATGAACTAACTTTAAAATGGTCAATATATAATTCATATTTAATTTTTATATATTTATTCAGTTACAAAGTTTTTTTTTTAAATAGTAATGCACTATTTTAGTGATTGGTCAGTATCCATTTTAAAAATTGGTTGATTAATCAGTTAACCGGTTGATTAATCAGTATCGCCCAATGTGGTCCAACCTAGCTATTTGTATCGGTAAACTCCAAAATCAGTCATCCTCTACTACTATGTACCATTTAGGTGCTAATATGCACACTTTATGTACTAATAAATGCCTTAAAGATCCCAATATGCTATTTTTAGGGGTAAAAAGGTCCAAAGATGTAGCTTTTGAAAGGGAACCACCCCAGTGGCAGCTTTTCTACCCTTTTTTTTCTAAAAGTGTACCATACTACTATAAATATTTATGCAATATGTATGTATACTGAGCAAAGTATGCACATTTTTAGTATAAACTTATAATCGCTTTGGGGCTGCAGGAAAATAAGATCTTCATTAGTTTACCATCCAAACCTTGACTCCTTGGTTGTATCAGTTGTTTAGAAAGATGAATACAATCAATGAGGAATAAATGATTCAGTGAACCTTTAACTTGCAGGAATATCTGTATTTTTACATATACTGTAGAGTTCTCACTCACTCTGCTTCTGCCTTTGTAATCACTCTTCCTTCCGCCAACCTTTCTGCCACCACAGAGACAGCCGGTTCAACATTCAATCCTGCTGCAGCCACCACCTCATCATCCCTGCAGTTAAAAGTACACAGCCAATATTTCTAGCTTTAAATAGAAAACAGGTATAAAGAATGGATGCCACAAACCTACAGCTTCTTACTTGAGGTAAAGTGCCAAAAACTTCATGTTCTCAAATCTCCCTTTTAGCACCATCTCAGTGTATCCCTCCCCGTACCCTGTGAATAAAGAAGAATAAGGACATGATTACATACAAATACCTGTATTTTACAATCCGTAAAGCATAAGCATGTACATTAAAAGGCAGCACCAGCATATCGAATAGTTCTCCCCAGCAGGACGGTCCAATAGAATGGCACTAAGTTTAGCTCCACCTCCCTGCGCATCATGTTTAAGGCCACAATCCTTCCTAATAAGGCAAAAGTTATAATGAAATTAAAGACATTTGAGCACTACACAATTATATATTTAAAGACCAGTGATGCACCAAATGTTTTTTGCACCAGTAAAATTCTTCAGCGAAGAGACGTCTCTCAATACTTCAGTTAAGCTAATTTTACAAATTACTATTCTAGAATAATTTTGGGTCTCAGTGAAGTGCATCCACATTGTTGGCATGTTTACCTGTTGCAGCTTTCTCAAGTTGCGTGCACAAAATAGATGCTGGCACAGTAAAAACACATCATTGGAGAAGCGTTTTATCAGTGAACCGAACAAAAAACATGTTAAAAAAAAATTGTTTTGTGAGGAAAAATAAATGCATATTGAAAAAAATTTTTAAATCATGTTTTCAGCAGAATATTTTTGGTTGTCAAAAGTTGGTGTATCACCCCATATTTTAAGTCTTTTAGTTCATGTCTATTAGCTTTATGGTGTCTATGGGCCCTATTTTAACAATCTAAACGCATGGTCTAAAGAGCACGGCGCAATTGCGCTTAGGGCGTGTCCGAATCCACTTTTGCTAGTTTAAGGATGGGAAAAATGGTCGGCACGCCCGGTGCATTGTCTAAAAGGGTAGTCCCTATTCTCTTAATGCGTAATGGGTGTGTTTTGGGCGTAACGTGCCATAAAACAATCAAAGTCTCATCTCCCATCCCCTTTAAAAGCCAGTTGCGCTTGGTGGTTTCGATATTTACATGGCGGAATTTCATTTTTAATTTTTTAAAAAGTTTGTGTGCTGCTGCGCGTCCCTGTGTGTGTCATAAGCAATGTGTACGCGCGTTGTGCTCCCGTCTATAGGTGCATATTACTAACGCACTCTTTAAATAACAAAGAAAAAATATTGCGCCTGACTTTAGACCAGGTTTTTGTTGGTCAATGGCACAGACCATTTCAGTTGCCTCAAAATAGCAACGCGCCAGCAATGCACCTGAACACACCTCGTTTTCAGACCAGCACGCCCATGGGCGCACAAATGGGCGCAAATGCATTTGCTATTTAAACAATGTGGAGCAGGACGTGAAAATGACAACTGCGTCGGGCTGAAACTAGCAAAAAAAACTTGCGTCGTGCCTGGCGCCGCATTGCGCCGGGTGTATGATAGGGCCCTATATGTTAATATACACCTAAAAGTTGGCAAAATTATCTTTGATTACCATGTGCCTGCGCTGTCTGCCAGTGGCCGATGCTCACATTCTGGCCTTTTGCCATTTTGAGAGGAAAGAAGGTCAGATCTCCTGCACAGTAGACGTCTGTTACGTTGGTCCTCATGTACTAGACAGACAGGGACACGATTAAAGATTTTGGAAGTGTAAGGTTTGAGCTCAAGGAAATTGGTCATAACACTTACCTTATCCACAATTACATAGTTCTTAGAGTCCATCCTTATTGGACTCCCTTTCAAAAACTCTGAATTGGGACTGACACCTTATATGGAGATCATTGGGGAGAAGAGAGCATAAACCTGTTGTTCAGATTATTTAAATTCAAGAAGCACTTTGTTCTCAGTTCGACGACTGTACATACCAATTCCAACGATTAACAAATCGGCTTCTATAGTGATACCGCTCTTCAATTTCACAGCCTTAACCTGTGAAAAAACAGGTTATTCTTTTAATAAGTCATAAGGAACCAAATGAAAAGAGGCCATCGTCCAGTTAAGTGTTCTTGATCATGTATTTCAGTCAATTAACTTCCAAAATAAGGTACTGATGTGTTGTTTTGGAAAAAAATAAATACATTTATTTTTAGAACAAATGACCCTGTTGACTTTACCCTCCTATTTTCGCCTTGAACCTCTGCGACGGCATCATTCATGTAGAACGTCACCCCTCTCTCTTCCAGCATCTTAAAGAACAAACAAAGCAAAGTAAGAAGATAATCATTAAAGGGATAGTTCACCCAAAAATGAAAATTTGATGTTTATCTGCTTACCCCCAGGGCATCCAAGATGTAGGTGACTTTGTTTCTTCAGTAGAACACATATGATGATTTTTAACTCCAACTGTTGCAGTCTATCAGTCATAT